CAAAATCTTTCAGAGAAACCATCCAAAGCAGGTTCTACTCCCACGCCCAAATTAGGTTTTCTGTTGACTAACAAGGTCTTCCCTAGATTGCCCAACCTGTGGTGTTTTTTTTTCCCACCCTTATTAGTTCCTTATAGCAGTGGTCCCCAACCATGGGCCTCCAGATGTTCCTGGACTTCAACTCCCAGAAATCCTAGCCAGCAGAGGTGGTGGTGAAGGCTTCTGGGAGTTGTAGTCCATGAACATCTGGAGGCCCAAGGTTGGGGACCATTGCCTTATAGCATTCAGACAATGGCTTGGACTTCCACAGCATCCTTATATCCTCTAAAAATGAGAGACGGGACCTTTTATCATAACTGTATCAATGAGATCCAAATCCTCAATTCCACATGATTTCTCACAGTAACTTCAGGTAGATGTTAATGCATACGGAACAAAGCACAGCCACAAGGAATCCCACAGATCAGTGGTTTCCAGCCTTGGGTAAGTTCTTAGACTGCAATTCCCAGAAGCCTTCACCACCAGCTATGGTAGCCTGAGTTTCTGGGAGTTGCAGTCCTAAAACACTTGGGTTACCCAAGGTTGGGAACCACTGCCATAGACCAAAGGGCAGTGAGCTCAACAAGTTTGTTCTAGTGTCATATTTTGAAAATGATCAGCCAAACCGGCGAAGAACGATCAAAAACCATGTTCCCTCATCCCATAACAATTAGATGTCCTAAGAGAATATGTAATATTGAAGACCAGTGAAAAGTCCAGCAGAATCAATAGGAAACTCTTCCCTGACTCATGCAGGAAACTAGCCATCTATCAGAGTGAAAAATGAAGACCTTATCCCAGAAATATACTAAGCCAAGCTTAAAAGGGATTAATCAGCTTCATCCTAGAAACCATGGAGTTTTGATGCCATCACCCACTCAAGGACCTCACTCAGAAAGGGCCAAGTGTAATCCTCTGAGTAATGGAAGTCAATTATAGCTCCATTAATAAATGTAATATTATTATGTATAATATAAAATTATGTATTATGTATTATGTACAGTGGTGCCTCGCAAGACAATTTTAATTTGTTCCATGAAAATCATCGTCTTGTGAAAAATTTGTCTTGCGAGGTTCCCTATGCTTAGGTCTAAAAAAATATATATTGCAAAGCACAGCCATAGAAAAAAAAGTCTTGTGAGGCACCATAGTGATCGCAGAAACCAATCATCTTGCGGGTTTTTCATCCCATGAGGCAATCGTCTAGCGAGGCACAACTGTATGATGATGATGATGATGATGATGATGATGATGATGATGATGATGATGATGATGATGATGATGAGAGAAAGAAGAACATATAGGCATATGGGCTAAAAAACCTTGGAGACTGGTTTGGATGAAAAACTTAGGCCTAAATAAAATTAGATTACACTCACCTGAAATAACAGAACTATAAGTATTAATTTACCAATGGGCCTATTCTAGTCATAAGTAGAATAGATCAATTGGAAAAAAATGGAATTTTCCACACCTTTGCAAGTTCCTCTGATTTAATGGGTCTATTCTAGTCAGAACTAACATCAGATCTCTGTTGACCATCAGTAGAGTGTAATGTTCTGCCAGCTGTAGTTCTGCCAGACCTTCCTTATGTACGCAGAGATCATGGTATCCACCCACTCAGAACAATGTGACTTCTACCGGTATAAGGAGGTACTTTATGCCATCTTGAACAAGTTCCACAAATGCTGTTCCACTTCTGCAACTATAGACCGCATGACTGGAAAGATCAAACAAGGTTCTGGTCCTCACTGTTTAGACTTGCCACATGCAAGGCCAGAACGGCCATGATGGCATCTAGGCCCAGGAGAAAGAGAAACAACAAGAAGAAATGTTTTACCACTGTCTCCTTCAAAAAGGATGGGAACATGCTATTCTCTCAGGGCAGAATTTACAACTTCCATTATCCATTAAGCTAATCTCATCAAGCAATATTTATAAACTAAGATGCACATGGGGCTAACAGGTGCAAAGTTAGCTTCATTGTTTCCATTTATCTAAAAACGCAAAAACTTCTTGTCCAGTATTGATGGGTGAAGTTTATATTACTACATGTTGCCACCCATCAAAAGTAGGTGAGCAGTCTTTTAGCCATGATCAAATTATTTCTCCAATCATATCATCAACATCTGTTTCAAATTTGAGTCTAGAACAAATTGGCTGTAATTACATTTATCAAGCAAATAATCACAGTGGGTTTCAGAACCAGAGTATAATAAACTCATAGCAATCTAAAATTACTGGATGACATTGGACTGATACAAGAGGGGTAGAAAAGAAGAATTTCTTTGCTGCTCACATTGCCACAGAGTAGGCCCTAAAATGGGTCCTGGGCCATGTTTGGCTAGATTTGTCTTGACTCTTCTTGATTATCACTTTAGTTGTCTACTGAGGCACTGAATGGCCTCAAGATCTGTGAAAATCTAAAAAGCCAATACATTCCACCACATGTTCAGGGACAGATATCAAAAGAGACAGGCTGTCTTATTCATAGAAGCCATGAAATCCCAAACCACATCAGATGAGAGTGCCTCTGAGTGAATGTTGAACACATTCAAAAAAATATGTTTAGATGAAACCAACACTCTCTCTAATACATAGCACACAGACAGGGAGACAGAATCAGGCCTCATTGTTCTGTCACTAAGTCTAAATCTTATATACCTAGTGGGATAGGACACCTTAATGCTGGACTTGAAAACATGGTAGGCAGAGCTGATCCCTCAGCATTGACCATTCAGATTCCAGTACAGTAACTCTTGCCAGGTTTTCTTGTTCATCTAGAATTAAAATCAAATCCTGGATCACACCCTACTCCCTGACACTGACCTGCCATTAACTAGCAGCATTTGTTGCCTTCATTGGCCCATTGTAATACTGTACATTTATTTTAATTTGTGAACAAATAAATGTCTACATACAGCACTCATTCCAGTATGTAAAACCCACTTAATTCTTGGGTGGTCCTATTCTGCCTCCACATTTTATGTGTTCTCAACCAGGCTTCCCCCTCAACCTCCATGTTGCTTGTTAGGAACCTTTATATTCTCATTTTACTCACTTGTATATACCAGTATTCAAACACACAGATCCAAACTGTGTCCATTTTATTAAAGTTAGCATTTCAGTTTGAAAGTCCATCAGTTTCACAAAAGAAGTTTAAAATTGGAATTGAAGAAATAAAACCTAACTTGGTGCTAACAATGAGCTATAATGTAAGTTATAAATAGGGATGAAAAAAGTGGTCTGTCTAGGCACCCAAGAAATGTGATGCTGGGATACATATTTATACAGCCATGTAAATATTTCATACTGGTTCTTAGAAATGAATAAATATGGGATTTTTAAAAGTTGTTTTATATGTCAGTTTGGTAATTCTTATGCATTCTGTATTTTTCCAAAGATCAACGAGGAGGTAATATATTAAGGTTCTGTAGGACAAAACAGGTATGCTTGATGGAAAGGAATAAAATGTTCAACTTTTAATATCAATAGTTTTCTATAGTATAAGCTGTCTTAGAGTCATAGTTCATAATAAATATGTCTCTTCAATCTATCTTGTTTTCAAAAGTTAGCAAACAAATTGCCAATTACTCTTTAGAATAAATCCTAAGCAAGTAAACATGTCAGAAAGTGAACATGGAATTGACTGACTGTAGCAGAAATTGATGTTAATTGTGTCACTACGATACAACTAGTCCAATATTATTTAAAACCACATTTATTAGGTCATGCTTAGCTTAAAATTCATTCAATTAACTCATATTAACCTTTAAAAAAACCCCAGATATTATTATGGCACTCGGGGCTATTATGTACATTTGTTGTGACAAGCAGTATGCTGTCAAAAATTATGTCATGTTATTACCACTTTGAGAAACTTTGTAGTCATCTGCATCACTGGAGGTTATACTAAAAACAGAAATAGGTAGGAACCTAACAAAAACACCTCTATTTGCATAGAAATACAGTGACAGCTTGATCGTATATTAAACCTGTTACTATGGAGAATCCTGGGAAACTATATGACCTTTTTTGCCTGTCACTGAAACAATTTTTCATTACTTTATGCCTGCTTCTCTTCTTCTAGTAGAACACTTTTAATGGTTAGTTCAAGTTTTAGGTCAATAGCATGTCAATTCACTTTGCCTTGCTCTGTTCACATCTAGTATAAGTCTTAAGAAAGGAGCTGCAGGCCTTCTTTTGACTAAATTCAAATGCTTCTGAAAAATGTTCTACTCACCTGCAGCAGGATATTTAACATTATACCATGCATGTTTAACATTTAATGCTGTCCTATATAGAACATGAAGTCTCCCTGAATGAGAAGCAAGCTCCTTTCATTTAGAAATGCTTAATAACCCAGTACTGCATAATTTAAAATTTTTGTATCACACCTGCTCACATTTTGCACCTTTTCTGTGCAGTTGGCCTCTTACTAGGATGTTCAAATAGCTTCAGTGTATGTATAGCCCTCTTAATGAAACACAGTTAATTTATCCAATTGAGGGCTGTAAGTATAACCAAGGGAGGTAATTTATTTGTCAGAGTTAAACATATACATTAGCCAGCTTTTGAGGACTATTTGTAACACAGATGAAAAAAGAAAACCTGAAGGAATCACATCAAATGTGGACGTCAGGCTCTTCTATACATGCTAAAGTTGTTCACCAATGCAAGTGTCAAAGCAAAAGCAAGTACCTGCTGACGCACTGAAGGGGGGGGAGGAAACAAACATTACTGTGTTAAAGTCATCAAAGATAGGGAGTTTGAATAACATAAATACTGTATAGGGCACAAGCCTTTTCCCCAACTGTACATGCTCAAAGGAAACATACAATTTAGAGTTACTATGAATAACAAGGGCCAGCATGAGGAGGAGGGGGAAGAGGGAGGTGATGATGATGATCATGAGGAGGAGGTTACTATCTCCAGCAGTTGGTGGGGAATCATATCCCTACCTCAGCAAGTTGGATAACGGAATAGGTCCAGATCCACTGCCCAGGAGCCCTCCTTTCCTGCCAGCCAAGAGTTTCTCCACCAAAGCCACATTCCCAGTGCGAGCGGCTTCCAGCAGTTCCTGGTCCTTCCCCATGGCCGAGAATCATCAGAGGACCGTCCCACTACGACCCCTCAAGATGCAGAATAGGTGATTCCCTCCTGCCCACTTAAAAAAAAATGTCCCTCAAGACCAAAAAAGAGAGATCATCTTCCTCACTCGCCCATGACACTGAGCAATGAGGAGATGCCTGCAGTTTTCAGCAGGCAGCAGAAAAAGGAGCAGCGGGAGCAGCCGAGGGAGGCAGGCAGGGAAGGAAGGAGAGAGCGGGGAAGAAGCACCTCCTCGTCGTTATTTTCCCTAGCTCCTTTCTGGGTGGAGTGTGCAAGAAAAAGGAGCGGGGCGGAGGAGGACGAAAGAGCCTTCCCTGCCTTCAGCCAGCATTCTCGCTGGCTTGGAGGACGGTGGAAGGGACGGGGAAGGCGCCGCTCCTGCGCCAGGCTGAAGCGGGTGGCGAGGGAGGAAGATAGGAACGACCGACCAGCAGGGCGCGAAAAGGAAGGCGCAGCCTTGGCCGTCCAGGCCCGTTGCTGAGGAGAGCAGAGAGAGGGCTCTCTGCTTCTGAAGGGGCTGCAGGGGCTTTTATTGGTCCCGCTCCCCTCTTGGGAGCTCCCAGTCGCCTGCCCTTGCTTTGGCGTCCGGCTGCGTGAGGGGATTCTGCTGCGCTCCCTCAGCTGCCCAGCCCGCCCAAATCCCAGCTCCAACGGGAGCTCGACTCGCGCTCCACTGCGGTGTCGCGCGCACACGCACGCATACCCACATGCACACATACACACATATACCCTCACTCTCTCTCGGCGCGGGGGCGCGCGCGGCGCGCGGTGGATCGATAACGACTGCCAAGAGAGGGGGGGGAAATAACACAAGGGGCGCTTCTCTTTATCCCCCCCCACCCGCCTGCCTCCTTCGCCGCCACCCCGCGAGCAAGTGAGCGAGCGCGCTCTGTCTCCCCCCCACACAAACACACACGCAAGCATAAGAGTGGGATGATGATGATGATGGAGTAGAAAGGAGAAGCTGGAAGGAAAGGGATGGTTTGTCTGGGGTGGGTCTGTGATGCGGTCCTCTCAGGAAGGAGATACAGAGGAAGAGAAGTAAACAAAACGAAACACACACATACACACGCACACAATCATAAGAGAAGTGCCGCTCCCTCTGACACACACACACACACAAATGAAGCCGGGAATAAAATATCCTGTGGTGGGAAAAGGCAAATGGGGACAGCTCGTATTCTCTGAGTGATGCGACCCTCAAGGAGCCTACAAGTTATCAGTCAGTCAAATGCTGTTTGGGATCCTAAGGCGTGTCCAGACAGACGCGAAAGAATCCTCTCCACGCTGCTTCCCACCACACCGCGGCCGCGGCCACTCAATCCCAGCACAGATTTATTTTATTTATTTATTTGATTTATACCCCGCCATCTGGTCTAAAAGACCACTCTTGGTGGCCCTAAGCCCACCGAAGGCGTTCGAACAATGACATATTCGAATCTCCTGAGGACTCTCCGCTCCCAAGAATACAGAACCTCTCCTTTTAAGGGGAACATGTTCACAGAATGCTATATAGCTACAGCCCAGTTTGGCGAAGTCTCAGAAGAGGGTTTATTTTTAAAATTACGGATGGCGTTGAAATAAGACGAGTTTGGTGAAAGGGCTGAGACAAACAATTTGCTCAGTTAAACAGCATACATAAATCAGATTCTTAAGTAGCATTCCGGACAGCAGGGGGAAAAACAACGATAACGAAATATCAAACAGAAAATGTGGAATTGGAGAACGTGAAATCTGGAGTAACTAGCTCCCCTTACCTTGATTGGCTTTTGTTTGTGTCAGACAGAGAATCTGAAAACAGATGTTCGATTGCAAAGTCATTCTGACACTGATGCAATGGCCAATCATACTAATTATGTGCAATCAAATAAATTTTAAGTGTTCCAGGATTTTCTAGGTATAAAGTTCCGTGAAGTGGTGTACCAGTCCCTTCTTCTGGTGGCACTCTGACACCATGTAACTTGCCCAAGTAGATAATCTCATCAACCACACATGCTCTGGGGGATCTGAGCTTGCCTAGGAGAAACAGTGCAAATTTAATTGCCAGCATGAGTCATTCCAACACATTGAGCTATACCAGATCATGGTGACCAATGACACTCATCATACTGAAATCACGTGATGGTCCTGCCATAGTAAAGAATAAAAATATTGTAGAAATATAAAATAATTGATTGCCTAAGACTCCTGTTGCTGTTTTCCCACACTTCCAATTTTAATATTGTTTATTTTAATATCTCTACAGTGCATTTATCTAAAGTCTTGAAACTTATATTATTGGTTCACTCATCATATTATTGTGAAATATGCTGTAAGTAGTTAATAAATTGAGACATTTTCAGAAAGAAAAAAATATCAAGTCCAAGTACATACCAAAAGTGAAAAAAATATATTGAGAGGATGGAAAAACAAGCTACTTATATTATAGCAAGAAAGTTCTTGAGTCTAAAGTCTAAACACACTTTACTAAGCAAAAAGATTCATTGAACAACTTAAACATTGTGCTATTAGTGTATTTGTTTACTGAAGTATAACAGAAAACAGTAACATTTGTGGATTGCCTGGTATATTGGAAAGAAAGTTGAATAGTTGATCACCATGAAAATATGGTAGTGTGTCCATTACAGGGTGATGATGCATGCTGCATTCTTGTGAATCTTTTTTTCAGAAGTCAGACCCACTGTTTTCAGATGCACTTATGCCAAGAAAGTGTGTATAGGATTACTGTGTCTGCAGAATCAGAGGAGTCCCGTTGTTTTTAAATGAGATTTATAGATACTATTTTGGCAGTAAGACTCACTGAGCACTATTAGACTGACTTCTGACTGTATAGGAATCTTACACTGAGGAATCTTACACAGAATCAGGAAGTCTGCATAAATTCAACAGAGAGGGAAGCACAACTTGTTTTCTGGTGTAAGAGAAAATTTTACTAGGAATAAAATAAATTTTTATCCAACTCTTATGAGGGGCAGGGTAAAAATCTAATAGATAGATAGATAGATAGATAGATAGATAGATAGATAGATAGATAGATAGATAGATAGATAGATAGATAGATAGATAGATAGATAGATAGATAGATAGATAGATAGATAGATAGATAGATAGCTAGGTAGGTAGGTAGGTAGGTAGGTAGGTAGATTAGATTAGATTAGATTAGATTAGATTAGAGGTAGGTAGATTAGATTAGATTAGATTAGATTAGATTAGATTAGATTAGATTAGATTAGATTAGATTAGATTAGATTTGGTTTATTGTTTCCCTGTACATTAAATTATACATGTGTCATATCCCAAGAAATCTCTTCTTCAAAATGTCTGCAAAAGCTAGCTACGTGAAAGAATGCAGCTGCACCTATACAGTATTTTGATCTATATCGCATTCAGGTCAGTTGCAGGTAAATTATTGCATATCTGGTCAGCCTAGTAATATGTGGCCCCTGCAGAACAAATCATCTGTACTACTAGAGCTGCTAAGATGACTAGGTTGAATCAGATAAGTCCTCTGATTATAAAATACCCCTCTAACATTTTGAGAATTTATCTAATGAAGAAACAAATCAACCAAATTTCCAATGTAGTTTTTTTTTAAAAAAATCACAAAAATAATGTTCTGCATCTACTTAGGAAAATAAATGGTATATGTCAAAAATGTACCCCTTGTTTTGCAGATGTAGCTTCTGCACTTTAGAAATCATCCAGTTGCTGCCAAATTTCCAGCAAGGCCCTAAAGGCTTCAATTGGATCCAGATGAAACATTCAGCCCTTGTCTACGGTCATGTAACTCCCACTCTGAGGTCAAAGGGTGTTTCTAACATTCCTATTGCCCCTCATTTTCCATTTCTGACCTACAGGATTGTATCATTAGCAGCTTTTATGTTTGATGCTCCTTTTGACTAACCTGCAAAAACCTAGGAAGGTCTGATTTCAAGATCTATAAAACAAATAGTGATTTCAAACACAGCAGTATATATTTATGATTTTCTTTTGCTCTTAATCTGATTTTTAAAACAAGCTAATAATAATATAATTTATTGTCATTGTAAGTATATACACAGTATACCATACAACGAAATTCACAATGAAACATGCAGTCCATGTATTATGTGTTTTTCTTTGATTCCAGTTTTATCTCTGCAACCATGATGGAGAGCATCCTTTAAAAAAATCCATATCAGGCCTGGTTTTGTGAAAAATACAGATACTTAATAAACCTGTTGTAATTTTGTTACCCCACTCTCACAATGCAAGACTTAGAAGGGCAATCTGGTGATTATTCAGGAGGGTGAAATTTTTCAATGAGTTTGTAGGTTCACCATTGGTGTGTCTATGCTTGTGTCTTTTAAATTTTTGAAAATGCCGCCTCTGTAGCTGCCAGTGTAAGTCCTCTCCACATCCTTGCAAATGTGCACTTTCCCCAAATTTGCACGAGTTTTGGAGAGCCCTTTCAATCTTTTCCTGCAAATATCAAACATTTTCCTCATGGAACGCACTGCTCATCTTTTTATACTGTGCTGGCCTTACATTTTTGCAGCACTTCATGAATATCTACTCGGGCTTAGTTCAAACATTATGTCAATGTGTTGATGAGAGTCATCTTCTCTTCTGCTAGTGTATGGGTAAGCAACTAACGGACAGCCAAATTTTCTTTGGTTAATAAAAATTTCAACACCCTTAGCCAGCATAGTCTAATGATTATTCTGTTTGTTTAACAAGATTTGGAGCGAGAGGTGGCTCATGTACTAGGACAGGACAATTCATCCCCAGGTTTTGGAGGGAGACCACTGCTCTAGTCATGAGCATTCTTATCTGGCAGACTCCAAGTTCACCACCATTACATTAGTTTGAAATTGTAAAGAGGATTTGTGGCTATGAACCATGGCAACTGAAAAATAGATAAGAATGGATGGCATAAATTAATAGCAAACCAATACATGGTATCTCAGAGAGATGGCATCAGGAGAACCAGCCTTCAGGATTCCAAACAAGCTAAGAAATACAATGCAAATAAGATGCAAAAACCTAAAAACATCCAGCTTTCTATTTTGTGCTATTTTTGTAATTTCACAAATAAATAATTCTCTTCCATCTTTTTCAAGAACATAAAGCAATGTTTACATTAAAATCTGCTATAGGGTTATTATTTGTATCAGGTTTAGTTTTGCTACAAATATTTGCATTTGAGTTGCCAAATACATTTAATCTTTTTTCTAAGTATTTAAGCTTGAGTGTTTGTGATTATTCATTCATTCATTCATTCATTCATTTTTATTTTATTAGATTTATACCCCGCCCATCTAGACCAAAGGTCTACTCTTGTTCTTTCTAGTAGATGCATCTTCCACTCTGGGTTTGTAGTGTTCAAGACCCCGAAATTCTTCTTGCACAATGCAGCTGTTTTGTAACACATTAATAGATGTTTTTGCATATAGCATCAGGTCAAACTGGATGGTACTTACACAGAATATTATTCAATATATTTGAATGCTTTAAAGGCAATGCATAAATTATGATATTTCATTATTTTCAAGATCAACTTAGTTTTTTAAAAAAATATAAGATGCATGTTTTTAAAAAAATCTCCCCAAATGATTATCCTAACCTATATGTGTTGGAAAAAGACATATATATTTAATATAAGCCAGAAAAACAGC